AGGGTGCTCTGGCCCATTCTGAACATTTCATGGTGATTTCATAACACATGACAGATATTTTAATTATATCATTTATTACTATTTCGGTATTTACTTACAGAGCTTACTTTCTACCCCCGTAACAGAAACTGTTATAAAGTCAGGACTCAGTTCTCATTAGGTGAATTAGGTCAAAGAGATTCAAGCTATGCCTTTTGTATTAGAGCTAGGAACACTTTATATTTTAATTCTGAGCACATGATAGAACATATTTATTAAAAAGTGATCACAAGTTCTAAAGCTTTGCATATGTGCAAAGCTACCTAGGAAGAGAATGAGTAGTCTGAAGCACACATTACACTAAGTATTCAATATGATCTACTTTATTTAATTCGTCTATTATATAGGGAGAAAAATATTATTTTTAATTGTATTGATAAGGAAACTAATACATAGAAAATTACTGTGACACAGAATTTCAGAAAGATGGTTCAGATTGTGCATTTTAGACCATTCTGCATGGATTAATTTCATTTAAGAGTTGGAAGCAGGGCCGGGCATGGCGGCTCAAGCCTGTAATCCCAGCACTTTGGGAGGCCGAGGCAGGTGGATCACGAGGTGAAGAGATCGAGACCATCCTGGTCGACATGGTGAAATCCCGTCTCTACTAAAACTACAAAAAATTAGCTGGGCATGGTGGCACGTGCCTGTAATCCCAGCTACTCAGGAGGCTGAGGCAGGAGAATTGCCTGAACCCAGGAGGAGGAGGTTGTGGTCAGCCGAGATCGCACCATTGCATTCCAGCCTGGGTAACAAGAGTGAAACTCCATTTCAAAAAAAAAAAAAAAAATTGGAAGCAAACGAAACAAAAATAGCAATGTGAAATTCGAAAATAAAACAAGATAAGAAATATGCATGAACAACAGTTTTATAAAATTTTTATAAGGGGATAAATATTAAACTAGATTAAGTTAAATTGAGAAGTATCTTATAGAAGAATGTTTACATATTCAAGATACAGTTCAGAGAGCAAAAACATAGAAAATACAAAGAAGAATTTAAGAGTCAGGATAAAGAGATGCCAGCAAAATGGCAGAATAGAAAGGCTCAGGTTTGTCTTCCACAGAAATACCATTTTAGCAATGATGTGCAATGTGTGGATCAAAATAACTTTATGAGAAGTGCAGAATCTAGTTAAATAGTTGCAGTACCCCCAGACAAGCACAAAAGTAAGAACAGTCACATTGAAACATGTAAAAAGAGCAATTTCACTTTACCATATCAGCTCTTTTCTCAAGTTGTCACAGCTCAGCACCAACTGAGATTGCCTCAGTCTAAAAATTTTCTCCTGGAGGGAGGATAAAATGGAGGATATATTCAACCTTCTAGTCTTTCAGCATGCTGCCAAAGTCAATTTGTAAAGACTGGAAATGGGTGCTTTTTATTCAAACACAGACACCAAGGCAAAGCTACAAGAAACACAAAGAATCGGGAAAACATGACACAATCAAAGGAATAAAATATGTTTCTAGTAATGAAATGTAATACAAAGCTATTCTTTGCTGCCTCAGTGGTTCTAAAGTAGTTGCATTCTCTCTGCTTGTTTTAAGCTTTAACCTAGTCATTGTCTGCTACCAAGCACTCACCTCTCAACATATGCAGCCAGACAATATGTCATATGATGACCTATCCACTTTATGCTTTCCTTTCCTTGTTTTGACCAAGTTACATTTAAGTTAACCGACAAAAATACTTCTCTCATGCTATGGCTGCACCACCTATGACTACCCCAGTAAAAGTGCTCACCCATCAGTCCTCTCCTCTGCCTGTTTTCCTGACAGCCAAGCTCAACACACAGTTTTTGATGAACTACGTGATCCTTTGGTCATACTGTGTCTTTCCTTTAAGACCTGTAGATATAATAAAATTTTAAGTTTTTATATCTCTCTGAGTGTTTTTAGCTGTGTAGAAGTGATCCTTGAAGGACCCCAACTAGGATGCTTAGCGCTGTTTACATAATACTGATTGGAGTGGTTCCCAAGAGCACGTCATCTGTTCGAAAAAAATAAAATACATAGACAACAAAATGTGGATAGTTTATTATACATCATATACTGGGGAGACTAAGTTACATACCTGTGACAAATAAACTCAAAAGTCCAATAATTTCAAACTACAAAGATTAATTTATTACTTCTGCTAATATATGTGTACCACAGGTTGTCTAGGAAAGGGACAGTCTCTCTCTACATGTTTACTCAAATGCCCTATGAGAGATACACAGTTGTTATCATCTCCTTTACATAGGTGACATACTGAGGTTTGGAGAGATTAAATAACTTAGCCAAGGTCACACTGTAAAAGGTGACAGAACTAGGATTGAGCCTAAGCCATGTGACCACATAACTCGCATTTATAATAACTACACTTGACTGCATTGATAAAAGAGAGATAATTCCACCCTGGAATTTGAGATCAGAGGCAACTATGCAGAAGAAAGAATGGATTCATTCCTTTAGTTCAAAAAGTAAGGAAAAAGATTGCCAGACCACCCTAGTTGTAAGATAAATGAGTATTTTGTTTTTAAAAAATTTTTTAAAAGAAGAAAAAAAATCCTGGGGAGATCACAAGATATTTGAGAAAAAGCTAAATATGAGGCAGTATGCATGAGATCCTGACATTGCCTTAGCTAGAGATGTTAATGAGGCTTTTATTTTTGTTGCCTAACATGGCTATGGCACTGCTGATTTGATGACTGGAGGCTCTTTCCTCTAAGCTCCCATTTCTCCATGTCTTCATAAGCACTCTCAGGCCATAAGAATGCTTTTGAATTCATAAAGATTTCAAAAAAGCATCAAAATATAAATGATTTTCCAGGTACTACGGGGTGGATGATCAGTTTTGAGTTAAGAGGAGTCATCCCATGCACCTATACTTTTTCATGATATTTCAGTACCAGGAACTTGCAGATAAGGATTGAACAACTTTTATAAGATGTTGAATCAAGATGTGATTCAAATGCAAATTATCCTCTGCCGTCTTCAGTCAGGGTCAGATGGGGAGGACCAATCTGGGATCAGGAGCCTCCTGAGATATCCACTGGCAGGATCTAAATGTTTCTCGTGAGATTGTTCACTGTCGCTGCCTTGATATTTGCAAGAGCACAGCTCAGATTCTATCCCACAACATAGAGTTCCACAGGCGAGGAAAGAGTTTCTCCAGCATGATGCTTTTCTGGATGTGGATTTCCAGTCAATGCTCTGGACTTGAAGGTTTTCCACATCCTCTTCTTTGTATCTTCAATTTGTCTGTTCCTAGGGCAAAAGTAAGTATCAACAAAACACAATCATAGCCAATTTAGAATTTCAAGGGGTGCTAGAAGGTCTAATCATTTTCTTTACAAATACACAAAAGGAAAATAAAACCTTGAGCAGTTGGAGTCGACCACAGGCACCCTGTCAGCCAGCTGTCTTCTGACTCCTTGTCCATTGCTCTTTCCACTCTACTAAGCTGCTCTACAGCACCCAAATTTCCACACTCGTTACAATCTGATGTCTGCTATAAATGGTTGGGATGATGTTTTTACTCAAAAGGGAGTACACACTTCCTAATTTGCTTTTATTTAGAATGTGCTATAAACATAGCAGTGCAAAGACCTTACCTCCTTTTCTGAATTTCGGGAGTTGTAACTTTCAACATATGTTTGAGAATATCAAATATTAGGTTATTTACTTTAGAAACATTCAAGTTTGGAAACTCAATATTGTTGGCTGGTTGTACTGCAGTAACCCAGAAGAGATGCAACAAGCTATAAAAAATAATGGCTCAGATTGCCTAATGAGAATTGTTAGTATCTTTTATAATTTTCAAATAACTTTCAAATTCATTGGCACATAAGAGCAGAATAGCCTACAGGACAGATAGAGAGTGATTTTCACCTTGACTAATATCAAAGACAAGGGCTATATCATCACCTGCCTTGAATATGAAAGATTATTAAACCGAAAGAAGTGACTATGACTCAAGACTGCAGATTCAGAAGGTCTCTTGAATTGAAGGGCCTCTCAAAGCTATAACCATGGCAACACAATAAGCTGTCACCTGAGCCAGCACTGGAGGTAAGCATCACCAGCTACACTGTGTAATACAGCAGGAGGTCTGTGACTTGATTGTACTTGGAGGACACAGAGTCTCCAGAGAACAGAAGTGACTTTTTCATCTTCCCCTATTCTCCCTCTTCATAAATAATGAAAAGACATGGGTTATGGTGGGAGATGAAAACATCAGCCCTTAAGAAAAATAAAGATTGTGAGATGAAAACATCTAGAGCTTAGCTTCAACCTCTTGAAAACTGCTCCTTTGGTTTTTCAGTTATTGAGAGACACCAACATATCAGTACGAATGTACATCACAGATCTTGCCGTTTCCTTTCACAGCCAATGAAGCACCCAGTTAAGGGCCCACATAAATTAGTCAGAAAAGTGTGCGTGTCCCTAGAGAAAGGCCCTGAATCTTTGCATGTTTTCAGCTTCTAAGAACAGATTAGTGAGGAGTCTATCAGAGATGGGAAGTGTATGTGACAGGTCTTGTCACCATCATATACCAAAGAATGACCAAATATTTTCTGTATTTCACTTTCTGTTAATTAAGATTTTTATGTAGACAAGAGGGCTTCAAAGATACAGCAAAGCTGTGAAAAAGAGTGCTGTGTGATTTAGTGTAATAGAGTATAACATACACTAGGAAAGCTGAAATATGCCCCAGAGATATAATACAGACCACTGTGGCAATCCTGGTCAGCAGAGTCTTTCCAGCACCCACATCATGTCTGCATTAATGGCCTCGTTCAAACTACCCCTACCCAGAATTCGGTCCAGCACCTTGCATACAGACTCCTGCACTGGACAGGAAGCTGACATGTGATCAAGAGACCTGACCACACTTCAGTTCCCATGATAGTGTTCAATTAGCATAATTTTGTGTATTTTCATCTCATAGGTACCTCTCATGATAATTCCCAAATGGCTCTGATGGAAAATGTTTCAGAGGTGACAGAATTCATTCTTGTGGGGTTAACAGATGTTCTAGAGCTTCAGATCCCTTTATTTATCATCTTTACTCTCATTTATCTCATCACTCTGGTTGGCAACTTTGGGATGATCATGTTGATTCTGTTGGACTCCCGGCTCCACACCCCCATGTACATTTTCCTCAGCAACCTCTCTCTGGTGGACTGTGTTTATACATCTGCTGTCACTCCCAAGGTAATGGTGAAGTTTCTCACAGGAAGTAAGATCATATCCTACAATTCATGTGCCACCCAGATGTTCTTCTTTGCAGCCTTTGCCACTATTGAAAGTTTCCTCCTGGCCTCAATGGCTTTTGACCGTCATGCTGCAGTGTGTAAACCCCTGCATTACACCACAACCATGACAAGTTCCATGTGTTTCCTGCTAGTCACTGGCTCCTACATCTGTGGACTCTTTCAGGCCTCCATCCATGTTGCCTTTACTTTCCATCTCTCCTTCTGTGATTCCAATGTGGTTAATCACTTTTTCTGTGACATTCCACCACTCTTGGCTCTTTCTTGTTCTGATATTCACACAAATGAGATTGTGCTCTTCATATTGGCAGCATTTAATATCTTTTTCACTCTCTTGATTATCTTGAACTCTTATATTTTTATTTTTATTGCTATCCTGAGGATGCATTCAGCTGAGGGACAAAAGAAGGCCTTCTCCACCTGTGCTTATCACCTCACTACTGTTTCCATCTTCTATGGGACAATCATCTTTATGTACTTACAGCCAAGTTCTGGTCATTCCATGGACACAGACAAAATCTCATCTGTGTTCTACACCATGGTCATCCCCATGCTGAACCCTCTAGTCTACAGCCTGAGGAACAAAGAAGTCAAGAGTGCATTCAAGGTGATTACTGGAAAAGCAAAGTCTTCATTAGGCTTAGCCTATTAATTATAAATAGTTTGCAAACCATGTTGAAATTTCATTGGATCTCTAGTGTCTAATAATTTTTTTATTTTTATTAATTATCTCTTATCTTTTATTTCTCTGAGTACTTCCTTCACACTGAGATCTGTTCAATCCATATTTTGGGAATATAACTAGGTTGGAGAAAATTTTGGATGTCTTTTAGCAGAAATAAAATGTCACTTCTATTTTAAGATTAAGGCTATAATCCTAGATAGTATAGAATTCCATACTACAACACACTATTAAAGTGTTTTGCAGGTAAACCTCATAGGTATATAATACCAGAATGATATTCTCAATTTCTTTAATTCCAAACAACTCTATGATTCTTGCACACAGCAAGGAGTCATTGTTCTTAGAAATTAGTGCATCTGAGAATCACCCTGAGAGATTATCAAAAGGCAGAATCCTAGGATCTAATCCAAGATAATCTCACCTAGTACATCTGTGGTGAAATCCAGAATTCCATAGTAGTATCTTTCACTATCCACATCTATCTGGATCCTGAGCTTAAAAATTGCAAGAGTTCCAGTGGTGAATTTGGATAATCGGGAATACTGTATAATATAAATGTATTTAGTTCCTGAATTTCGAAGATCAAAAACAGAGTTCAGAGGGCGATAATCAGTCTGAAAACATATCTGTATCTCTTTCTTATTTGAATTCTAGACAGAAGTTTAACCATGTCTAACACTTGGACAGCAACATTTCCTGTTATATATGCTTCTGTACATTTTCAATAAAAATGAAAAATGAATTTACAAAACTAGAAATTTGTGTCTGGATTATATCTGTGAATGGAAATATTGAGAGGAGAAAAATGAACTCAAGTTATCCCCCAAACTATTAACTGTGACTCTGACATCTAACAAGACACTGAACTCAAGATCAAAGTGAGGGGATCTCTTTTCAGGTGAGATACAGGGAAATGAAATAACATCATATCAGCCCTCTCATTCTCCACCAAGCTTTTTTTTCATACTATAGAAGTCATTAAGTGCCCATTTAATAAAAAAGGAGAATCAATGAAATTATTAAATAATTATATAAATGAATGAAGGAATGTATGAGTAGATGATAATGTGGATGAGTAAATGAATGAGTGAGTGAGAAAAAGTAGAATTGAGATGTAAAAGAATGAGTCAGCAGCAAACTGGACCCCTAATGGCTAATCACAGGATTCAAGAGCTACTCGTTCTATGTGGCCAGAGGGAGGACACCTCTCAGATCACCATACAATATTCTATCTTCCCTTATCTCTTTGAAATATAAACCATGTCTCTTCCTACTAATTAAACCCAGCATGCTTATCTCAGGATATAGTCCACTTGGGACCTTATAGGCTCTCGGATTACCATGAAAATCAGGAAAAATATGCAGCTTGAGTCAAACCAATCAAGGCAAAAAATCATAGGGTGCCCAATTCTTATAGGAAAACCTTAACTGGTGAAGATAAAGAAGGAGAAAATGGTCTGCCCTCTTCTCTCTCCATTGGCCTGACAGGGAAGATAAGCAGAAGGGATAAATGCTGTCTTTCATCGAAGGCACTCACTGTGTGCCAAGCACAGTGCTGAGTACTATCTATCTAGATAGCAATGGGAGTTTTTATTCTTCATAGGGGCTTCACAAATAGGGTTATAACTCTTTGCAAGGTCAGATTGCAGGGGGAAAAAGTTTTTCTCTAAAGATTTTCATTAGAAAGGCAAATATCTTTTAAAAAGATCATTAGCTGCCTTAGGATCATAAGAAAATTGCATGATGAATTTTTCCCTTTGAAGTGTTCTTAAATTGTATTAATGCAATGATTAAGATCGAAGTCCCCAATATGAGATAATGTGTTCAAATATGTTCAATTGTGGGAATCTTTCTGTGTTTCAGTTACCCAGTCAGCAAAATGTACATAGCAATAGTACCTACTTCATAGGATTGGGGTGATATTTAATGAGATAGTACATTTTAGTCACTTAGTACAATGTTTAACCTACTGTAAATAAATGGAACATATTTTTATTATTCTTTTAGCAAAAGCAATAGAGAGAACCAGACCATCCTGTCTCTTTGTTCCTCTCCCATTCCAGAACTGCCTCACTTTTTTCTCTATTTTTTGGGGTTCTTAACCTGTGCTAATATTCAACCTCCACCTAGAGACATTTTCCTGGAGCCAAGGACCTTACAGATAAACCACAATAAGGACAGATTCCTCTGTCTGGATTTGTTTAATCTGATCAGTAAAGCAACGTTTAACATTGTGACCTCAGCTGCAGATTCCTTTCATTCTTCTCTGAGTTGTCAAGGAAATGTGTTAAATATGGAAGACTTTCATGCCCTTCTCACCAGCAGCACTAAAATGCTAATGACAATTTAAACAATATCAAATAATGAGATTCATTATATTCTTGGGACATCTGTCTCCAAACGCATGCACACACCATATAGCCTCTTTACCTCTTTGGTCCTTCCTAATGTTCCAGGAGTCAGATTTACTAACATATGTACATTTTATTAGTGGCTTTCTCAAGACAGTGTTATTCATTACATGAGTAAAGGGTAAAAGCAGAGGAAGCACAGTATAGCAAAGATATTGAGTATACGTAGGTATAGGAGAATATCATAATGTTATATCAAGAGAGGATTTTGTTCTTTTTATAATACAAAATCCATTTCCATAAAGTTGTTGATGACTCCATCAAATAAAGTTTATTCTCATTTCAAATTCAATCATGAGTGTTATGTGTCAGCATCATTATAAAAGCAAACATTCCTGAACTTATTGATTGGGTTAAACTTTATTGATGGAAAGTTAGAACATTTGAAACCCAATAAAGGTAATCTGCTGTGTAATATATCAATATTTTCTATAAAGGCCAAATTAAATTTCATCAAGTGACCCATTAAGCAAATGAAAAGAAAGTAAGGGAAAACATCTTCCACTGCTACTCTAAACACACAGAAATTATATACCATATAATTAGCTAGAACTCTTTTCTTTTAAGCTTTTAGCTTTTGTTTTCACCCTTCCATCTTACCTAATCTTTAAAAAATATTTTGCATTTATTCTTTACATGGAAGTACTAACATAGGTGCAAAAATGTTAGATATGGCTGTCTAATTCATATCTTCAGAAAGTCAGAATGAAACTGTTATTTTCTGTCACAAAAACACGAAAGTTGTGTTCTGTATTTCAAACATTCTCTGTAGAATTTTTCCTTCAATAACCAGAGCAATTCAGCATCCAATAATGGTTGTTTGTGATTCGTTTCCATGTTATTGCATAATAAAGAGAATAATCTCAATCCTTTACCGGGTTTTCAACTTTTACTATGTTATTAAGCATACTGTTTAGTTCAGCTGACCTTTCCTTGAAGATTGAAGTAGTACATTCATTTACATAATAATACAAAATACCTTAGGTAACTACTCCAAAACAGTTTCCTGTTTTTGCACCTGCTCTTTCAAAATATACACCTTCACAATTTAGTTGATAATGTAATTCTTCACATTTTCATACAATTTTCTACTAGTCATGTTATCAGCAATGGAGATGAAAGAAAAGTATTTTCTTCAGGACACCATTATGGTCAAATTGCATATATACTAAAATAGTATCTGTTAGCAACATCTGGGCATGCAATGCAAAATAACTTATTGACATTATTTGTTTTATAAGTTGGTCTTCTATATTATTAGACAATTCCTGAATACGTAAAGATCTGATCTCACTGAAAAGTAATACTTGAGTCACAGATTCATCCATTTCCAAACAAATATCTCTAATATAGTCATTACCTAATATATCAACAACTGTATATATTGTTTTAAGTCTTAGCAAATATTAGTCCTCTATGAAAATCCCATAAAGATTAATATTCATAAGTAAAATGTTGAACATCTGCTCTGTCAGATTTTCCAACAGTTCTCCAAAGTCTCAACTCATTTCAGCATTAACTAGAAAGTCCACAGTCCAAAGTCTCATCCGAGACAAGGCAAGTCCCTTCTGCCTATGAGCCTGTAAAATCAAAAGCAAGTTAGTTACTTCCTAGATACAATGGGGGTATAGGCAGTCATTAAATACAGCCATTTCAAACGGGGGAAATTGGCCAAAACAAAGAGGCTATAGGCCCCGTGCAAGCCCAAAATCCAGCAGGGCAGTCAAATCTTATAGCTCCAGAATGGTCTCCTTTGACTCCATGTCTCACATCCAAGTCACACTGATGCAAGAGGTGGGTTCCCATGGTCCTGGAGCTCTGCCTCTGGGGCTTTGTGGGGTATGTCCTCCCTCCCAGCTGCCTTCACTGTCTGCCTTTGGGTGTCTGCAGCTTTTCCAGGCACACAGTGCAAGCTGTCAGTAGATCTACCATTCTGAGGTCTGGAGAAGAGTGGCCCTCTTCTCACAACTCCACTAGGCAATGCCCCAGTAGAGACTCTCTGTGGGGTGTCTGACCCCACATTTCCTTTCCCCACTACCCTTGCAGAGTTTCTCTACAAGAACCCTGCCCCTGCAGAAAACTTTTACCTGGACATCCAGGCATTTTCATACATCCTCTGAAATCTAGGCGGAGGTTCCCAAATTCTTGACCTCTGTGCACGGGCAGGCTCAACACCACATGGAAGCTGCCAAGGCTTGAGGCTTGGACTCTGAAGCTACAGTCCAAGCTCTACCGTGGCACTTTTTAGTGCCAAGTAGGAGTGGCTGGATGCAGGGCACCAGGTCTCTAGGCTGCACACAGCATCAGGACCTTGGGTCCAGCTGAAGAAACCACTTTTTCCTCCTAGGCCTCTGGGCCTGTAATGGAAGGGGCTGCTGTGAAGAACTCTGACATTTCCTGGAGATATTTTCCCCCTTGTCTTGGGGATTAACATTGGCCTTCTCCTTTCTTATGCAAATATCTGCAGCTGGCTTTAATTTCTCCTTAGAAAATGGGATTTTCTTTTCTATTGCATTGTCAGGATACAAATTTTCTTAACTTTTATGCTCTGCTTCCCTTATAAAATTGTATTCCCTTAACAATACCCAAATCACATCGTGAAAGCTTCACTGCTTAAAAATTTCTTCCACCAGATACCCTAAATCATCTCTCTCAAGTTCAAAGTTCCACAAATCACTAAGGCAGTCTCTTTGCTAAAACATAGCAAGAGTCACCTTTGCTCCAGTTCCCAAGATGTTCTTCATCTACATCTGAGACCACCTCAGCCTGGATTTCACTGTCCATAGCATTATCAGCATTTTGGTAAAAGCCATTCAACAAGTCTCTAGGGAATTCCAAACTGTTCCACATTTTCCTGTCTTCTTCTGAGCCCTCCAAACTATTCCCACCTCTGCTTGTTACCCAGTTCCAAAGTTAATTCCACATTTTCAGATATCCTTTCAGCAATGCCCCACTCTACTGGTACCAATTTACTGTATTCGTCCGTTTTCATGCTGCTGATAAAGACATACCTGAGACTGGTCAATTTATGAAGGAAAGAGGTTTATTTAACTTCAGTTCTATATGGTTGTGGAGGCCTCACAATCATGGCAGAAAGCAAAGAGTAAGTAACATTGTATGTGAATGCCAGCAAGCAAAGAGAGTTCTCTACTTCTTCAGGGAAACTCCCACTTTTAAAACCATCAGATCTTGTAAGACCCATTCAATATTACAAGAACAGCACAGGAAATACCACTCCCATGATTCAATCCTCTCCCACCGGGTCCCTCCCACAACACATAGAAATTATGGGAGCTACAAGATGAGTTTTGGGTGGGAACACATAGCCAAACCATATGACCATTTGT